ATTTACGAGAACGCGAAAACAACCTATTAACCTCATATTGTGATAAAAAAATAAAATTATTAGATTTTTAAAATTAAAATTGAAATTTAAAAAGATTCAAAAAAAATTAAAATTAAAAGGGTAATAATGAAAATGATATCATAAAATCTTTTAACACGATCACATGATTAATATTGATTATCCTTATCTTATATATCGGTTAAGAATTCAAGGAGATCAACAAAGAAGTCATAACGTCTTATCTAATTAGTTTATCACACATTTATCACAACGAATTACTGACGAAATCAATTAAACGATTTTGTGTGATATGAATGTGATAATCATGTGATATGAGTGTGATAATCATATGATATCAATATCACTCGACTTGATTATGGTTTCAATGGGTTAGGTTAGACATTATCACAACGATTTCGGATGGTTTCGATAGGTTAGGATTAGATAATCACACATTTATCACAACGAAAACGATTTTGTGTGATATGGGTGTGATAATCATGTGATATGTGTGTGATAATCATGTGATATCAATATCACTCGACTTGATCATGGTTTCAATGGGTTAGGTTAGACATTATCACAACGATTTCGGATGGTTTCGATAGGTTAGGATTAGACAATCACACATTTATCACAATGAAAACGATTTTGTGTGATATTATGTGATAATCATGTGATATGGGTGTGATAATCATGTGATATGAGTGTGATAATCATGTGATATGGGTTTCAAGTCGTCCATTCTAGATCGACAAAAATATGGATACTAACGATATGAAGAAAAGGTATTAAGAAAGTCGACTATCATGAACGATCAGGAGAAGAAGGATGAACGATCTGGAGAAGAAGGTTAGATAAGAAAACTAACCTGAGGAAAACGTGGAGACGTGGTCAACAAAAGGGATAATTATGAAATTGAAATAAAATAAAAATTATAAAAATTACTTAATTACGTTACTACCCTTATTAAATTATTTATATATAGTATAAGTTAATTTATTAATTAAAAAAAAATTGAGGTTATTGGATTGTTCTTGCATTCTCGTAAATCACAGGGGTTCTCGTTTGAACCTCCACCTATATATATATATATATAGTTACAGAAAAAGTGTATGTATATATAAACAAGTAATTAATAAGAAAAAGGAAATGGGAAAAGGAAAGCAAAAATGAGAAATGAAAGAGGATACCTGGAGATTGTTGTTGGAGATGTCCAACTTGTAAATGACCCCCAAATTGAGATTAGAAGTTAGAGGAAGACTCTCCAAACACTTTCCACTCAAATCCACAACTTTATTATGCATCACAACTCCTCCTCCTTCTTCTTCTTCCTCCTTTGAGTAATTGCTGTTATTTCTTCCAAAATGCTTTCTTTTTGGCTTCGAAAACTCTACCTTCATCATGCCTGCATGGTCACTATCAATCATCATGGTCATCTATACATATACATATAGATCTCTGTATCTATATATATATATATATATATATATATAAGTATGCCTGCAATACACAAAATCTGAAGGTTCAACACAACCAGATTATGTGTTTTTGTTAGAGAGAGAGAGAGAGAGATGAAGGTGTAATTTTGAGTTTTTTTTTGTGTTGAATGAGAACAAAGTGGAGAGATTGTAGTGAAATTTAAAGGAAGGGAGGGAGAGAGGTGTACGGATGAGGACGATACTAAATTTGTATACGTCATGGTGCCCACTCTCACAAGCATAAAACGAGGTCGTTTCGACATCAATAGCTTCATATATAGAAACAAAAGATCGTATTTAAATAATAATATAATTATGGTATATTATATTATAATATAAAGATTAGGTATTATGTAGTAAATTGAATATCATTGAATATTAATAGGAGGTTAGCATTGCAGTTGACCCCAAAAAGTTTGATTGGATTTTGAATATTAATATTTTTTTTATTAACTTGGATATCTAATCTGTTATACAAGTCGTTTAATTGCATGGTGACCACCTGTTTTGTAGATAGTCTGGAGTCAACACATTTGAACATCCGTGGCCATAAGAATTTTTTTTATTCCTACTTGTATTTGAATCTGAGATTATTTAATATTAATATTATCATAAATACGTATAAACTTCTTCTGTTTTGCATTATTTAATTTGTACCTAAATATCATTAAGAGCCTATTTGATTCACGGGACAAAATTAATTAAAAATACGTTCTTCAATATTTGATACCGTATTCAACATTTAAATTATTCCATTGAAACAACAAAACAAATGGGACCAAAAATACGAAATTATTTTACTACCATCGTGTGTGTATATATATATATATATATATACTATATTATAAAGCATTTGACAAAAACTGCTAAAAACTATTTTTTATGCATGAAGTATTATACATTGATGCATATTACTTAAAATTTCATATTACAAGTAAATTATGCACAAGTACAACTTA